CCTGATAACAAGCACCAAAGCTCTACACACCATCTCAGTAAAGCATGACTGCATATTGGAGTATGGATGAACAAGGAAGAGGGACGCAGGTGGGATGAGAAGAAAAGGACAAATCGAAATAAAGAGCATAGGAAAACGTAGTCGAAGGAAGGAAAATGAGACAACGAGATGAGGGGGGAGAATGGCTAACCAACTCCAGCCGAAACTAGGGTCGGTGCCATCAGGTCTGTGCAAATTTGAAACTCTCACATAAAAAGTGAGAAAAACTCTCAAACTGAGAGAAAGTCTCTCACAAGGAAAGAAAAGGCCTTCGCCGGGTGTCGGGTTATTAGTGTAATTTACCTACCAATCTTCTATAGTGTTATCCCAAATAAGAAATATTTAGCTGCAAACATGGAAAGAATGAGGGAAGACTCAGCAAATTTAGAAGAGGAGAAGAAACCACGGGATTCCCCAGTTGAAACTTGGAGATATCCCTACATTTATAAACCAAAGGCATCAGTACACTTGAAGGCAAAACACACCAACCAGAGCAGGCTATTTCTAAGTATTGAAAAACCTAAATCCATAAGCTTTAACCATTTTTCTTCATTCTGATCTTTACCACAAGCATCCCTAATCCACCAAAGTTATCTCGCCATTAGAAACCCTATATTAACTACTGCAAAACCATGCAACCAAGAACGTACTCTCTCTCCCGCATGTCAAACTAGTGGACTTTCAGCTTCCCCACCACATTCAGGCAAGTTACAATTGACTGTAATTATTCAATCATTGCTAAATTAGAACCATTGATCCATCGAGTATACTTTTTAAGACGTGCCTTTTCTTTAGAAATATTTCAGGACTTGGTTCTAGAAACGAACTAGGGGAGCTAAGCATTTCACTAAAGCCTCCAACTGGAACAAAAAGGTCCCCCAACACCTCTTGTTTTCAGATTATAGAACCCAGGGCCGAAAGTGTTCCTTACTCGATCAAAGTCATTCAATTTAGGAGTCAGCATCGCATTTTACCACATCACCACATTCAAAATATTCGCATGACTGAGCTCGATAGTGAATTGGCACACCCACATCAACAATCGAGCCACCTAAGAACGTAGGTAGCTCTTAGTTACTTGACCTGCTTACGATGTAGGCTCTGTAGTTTTTAAGGTCAACATAGTTGAATTTGAGACATCTTTTATTTGTCAATGGAAAGGAAGATTAATAGACCATCATGCTAGTGTCTGGCCATATTGAAGGTTGGAAACGTGTTAAAGAATGCAATCCAACATTGAAAGCTTGACAAAATAAATTACAATTAATATTGAATTTTCTAGGTTGTTTAGATTAGCTGATTGTTTTCGTGGCTGCTCAACCAACCATTTTTTAATGTTTATTTTTTATTTTTTAAATATTTTCTTTTTTCTAATATATTTTTTTATTGTTTAAGAAATTAGTTATAAGGGTAAATTAGTTATTTTATTTGCAAAATTTTGACTGAAAGGTGTTATGTGAAAGTGAATTTGTGCTCGATAAACCTCAGAGGGTGTTAGTGTGATTTTTTTTGGTAAAAAGGTAAATATATTACCAAAAGAAACAAACAGCCTTACAAACTATACAAGCAAAGGTCCAAAGACAAAAGTACACAAACAATCAAAATGGACTAGCCAAACAAACAAAAGCACATCCCAAACAATAGTATGAGCCCAAAATAGAAAAAACAGAAAAAAGCTGTGAAGATCGACTGCAACCACCACTGCAACATTCCATCACTATCCGTCCAATTCCATGCCTTCAACCTCACGTCAACTCGCTGATCGTAGCATCCAACTCCAAGCACCAGCATGTACGCAACCTCAATTGAAGAAATCCAACTGCCAAAAGAAAGAAGCCCGTAAGAACCCACGAGCAACATTGCTGGAAAAGGCAGACAAAGATGAGACAGTGATGGTGTAGGGAACACCTGAGCCCGAGCATGCACCAAAGCTCTAGACACCATCTCAGTAAAGCATGACTGCATCTTGGAGTATAGATGAACAAGGAAGAGTGACGCCGGTAGGATGAGAAGAAAAGGGCAAATTGAAATAAAAAGCAGAGGAAAACACAATAGAAGGAAGGAAAATGAGACAACGAGATGAGGGGGAGAACAGCTAACCAACTTCAGCCGAAGCTAGGGTCAGCGCCACCAGGTATGTGCAAATTTGAAACTCTCACATAAAGAGTGAGAAAAACTCTCAAACTGAGAGAAAAGGGCTTCGCCGGGTATTAGGGTGTTAGTGTAATTTACCTACCAATCTTCTATAGTGTTATCCCAAAAAAGAAATATTTAGCTGCAAACATGGAAAGAATGAGGGAAGACTTAGCAAATTTAGAAAAGGAGAAGAAACCATGGGATTTCTCAATTGAAACTTGGAGATATCCCTACATTTATAAACCAAAGGCATCAGTACACTTGAAGGCATAACACACCAACCAGAGCAGGCTATTTCTAAGTATTGAAAAACCTAAATCCATAAGCTTTAACCATTTTTCTTCATTCTGATCTTTACCACAAGCCTCCCCAATCCACCAAAGTTATCTCGCCATTAGAAACCCTATATTAATCTCTCTCTCTCTCTCACATGTCAAACTAGCGGGCTTTTAGCTTCCCCACCACATTCAGGTAAGTTACAATTGACTGTAATTATTCAATCATTGCTAAATTAGAATCATTGATCCATCGGGTATACTTTCTAAGACGTGCATTTTCTTTCGAAATATTTCAGGACTTGGTTCCGGAAATGAACTAGGGGAGCTAAGCATTTCACTAAAGCCTCCAGCTGGATCAAAAAGGTCCCCTAACACCTCTTGTCTTCATATTATAGAACCCAAGGCCGAGAGTGTGCCTTACTCAATCAAAGTCATTCAACTTAGGAGTCAGCATCGCATTTTACCACATCACCACATTCAAAATATTCACCTGGCTGAGCTCGATGTGAATTGGCACACCCACATCAGCAATTGAGCTACCTGAGAACGTAGTTAGCTCTTAGTTACTTGGCCTGCGTGCGATGTAAGTTGTGTAGTTTTTAGGGTCAACATAGTTGAATTTGAGACATCTTTTATTTGTAAATGGAAAGGAAGATTAATAGACCATCATGCTAGTGTCTTGCCATATTGAAGGTTGGAAACGTGTTAAAGAATGCAATCCAACTTCGAAAACTTGACAAAATAAATTACAATTAATATTGAATGTTTGAATGGTTTTGCTTTTGATTGTACGGAGGCCTAATGCTATCCCACATCAAAAATTTGTCAAAATAAAGTACAACTTATTAAAATGTTCCACTCCTAATGGCATTAAGACCTTTTGTAGGCCACTAGGTTCTTAACTTGGTTTATATTCATCTTGTGATGGTTTTTAGTTTATTTTCATTTTGTGATTGTCATATGAAATGCACTTATAATTTGTACTCCAAAATGCAATTATAATTTGTACTCCAATATAATGGAAATATGAAAATCAATTAAGATCATTGGGACTATAGATAGCTCCTTAATTTTGATTTTTATGTTTTTATACAAGCGATATTGGTAAAAGATGTGATCGAACTCAGAACTTCAATTTCAATTGTTGGCACGTTAAATTTCAATTTGCCTTGCCCTTGTCCAAAGGACACTGGCTTGTACCAGAGGATAACCTTTTACTTTAGTGGTTGATTTTCAAAGTTTCAAACAAGAAGGTTATACCAAGGAAATATCAAGGGAAAATATGCATAAGAAACAAGGTGAAAGAGGACAATTGCTACCACCAAATGCAATGGATGGGTTCTCAAGCGTGCAGAGAATGGCTTGTGTGTTACACTGAAATAAAGGAAAAACTGGTGCAAATATGGGGCAATTAATTTGCTGCACCAACTTCCCCTCTAACTGCCCCACCCTCCAAGTCAAATGGGCCCCATACATGCATTCTTCTACTATCTCTTTCTAACAATATATTAAGTGTCTAATAACACCAATAATTTCTCAAGTTTGTATTTGTTAATTGTATGTTCTTTTGTTTTGGGGTGGAGAGGGGATTGGTACACATTGTTTTCGTGGATTTTCTAGGTTTTTTAGATTAGCTGATTGATATAACTGAAGAGTTGTGAAACATGTGACATGATTGTTGTATAGGCACATCATCAATGAGGTTAAAACACATGGAGAACTTTGTGTACATTTGGTCTTCCTTTTCTACTTCTAGACAACTGGTTTTTGAGCTCATGAATTCAAATGTGATAGTCATTCACAATTTGAATTGGATAAATCGAAAAAAAAAAAAAAAACATCAACTAAAGTGGCAAGAGTAGAACACATAGTTCGAAAAGGTACCTAAGAAACTTCAAATTATATTTTCAACGTCTTGGATCTTCTCATTCGTTGTAAATTAAGTTAAAATACCTCAATCTACATGCATGTATAAACATATAATTGAAAAAAGAAAAAGAAAAAAAAAAAAAGAGTTTCATGCCAAATATGTGCTTATGTTGTTACATTGCAAATGTAAACTACGTACAGATTCAAATAAATATAATAATATAGCAGTAGATTGATAATATACCAATAAAAATTCTGTCACAAGTCTGAAAAGAGATAAATCATATAAATTTTACATAGTATGCTTACAAAATATTACTTCAAAGTACTTGTGCATTTTGGCTTGTAGCCTAGTGTAAGTATATATACTATCTACCATAGTAGTGACCGTAGATTCCCAATGTTAAGGAATAAGGAGTCATATAAAATTTAAATTTTAAGACTTTATTATAAGCTTAAGTCGTTTTGTGAAGCCATGCAAACAATGACATACGAAAGAACCTCTAAATGTGTTGCGTGCATGGGTCGAGTTCTTTGACAAAGCAATGACCTGCAACGTTGACGTTGAGATTTGAAAGTTTTACTCTTCATCAGCTTCGGATTAAAAAACTATTTCTCTGAAATTAGAGCAGCACATCTTCTAATTAGTTTGTGTATAAATAGGCAGACCCAGTATTTGAGAAAAAAGCAGGCCAATTTAATTAAGCAAAGATCAAATTTAGAAATTAATTAAACACAATGGGGAGGACTCCCTGTTGTGATGAAAGTGGTCTCAAGAAAGGACCCTGGACTCCTGAAGAGGATCAAAAGCTTGTGCAATACATTGAACAACATGGACATGGAAGTTGGAGAGCTCTTCCAAAGCTTGCAGGTTTGCATACAATATATGATTACTTAGCCTCTCTTTGTTGATTAAATTGTTAGTTTACAATCGAGTTACGATCGACTATCGATACTCAAAATCTTAAGCTAACATGCCTAGTTGACTAGCCCCAAAACATGGGTTGTCACTCTCCACGTTATTGAGATTTGAATTCAAGATCTCCTCCCAGATATTGATAAGATAAATTTGTTGGTTTTACCACTTAAATTGCTATCATTTTCTATTTTTTAGGTCTCAATAGATGTGGGAAGAGTTGCAGGCTAAGATGGACAAACTACTTAAGACCCGATATCAAAAGAGGCAAATTTTCTGAAGAAGAGGAGCAAACAATTCTACATCTCCATTCTATCCTTGGAAACAAGTAATGCTTTATTCCATGATCAAACACATAAAAGTTTTCAACCCTTCCTTCATACATATATGTTTGCATAATATCAAAGATTACTCTTATATATTTTTGCTTAATTACAAGATGGTCAACAATTGCAACACACTTAGACGGCCGAACGGACAATGAAATCAAGAACTTCTGGAACACACATTTGAAGAAAAAGCTGATCCAGATGGGTTTTGATCCAATGACCCATCAGCCAAGAACTGACCTATTTTCCAACTTGTCTCAGCTTTTAGCCCTAGCTAACCTGCAGGATCTCATGCAGCAATATCAGCCATTGGAACACATTAATCAACATGCAGCAACATTACACGCAGATCAAGCCGTTCAATTGGCCAAGCTTCAATACATCCAGCATTTACTCCAATCCGTAGCTTATACAAGCAACAATGACAGTTATACCCAGAACAGAAGCACAGAGATGGAAATGGATGATCAGGCTTTTAATTTGTTAAACTCGATTAATATTCCTCCTATCAAAGAAAACCCGAATTTTAATTCACTACAACTGGAAAATCCAAGCTCATTTTCTCATGGATATGGTGGTAATTCTTCTCAACTACTCCACCATCATCAAACCCTACTGCCTCATGACCTAGCAGACCCACAAGTCCCTTTCAGTTCTCTACCATCTTTGAATAACAGTGATCATGAAATGGGCCAGGGCTCCAACTTTACAGTGGTCCGTAGTCAAGAAAATAACCCATCCGATGAATCTCCATGGTTTAATAATCTTCTATCTCCTACCGCTCCTTCTATTCCTCCAACCAGCAATGTTCCTGGAGATGCGTGCTGCAGCAGGTCTAGCTATGGAGGAAGAAGTAGTGATTCTTCATCCTACTGGCCTGACCTTTTTCTTGAGGACGCCAATTATGGTTGAGAATTCTTACTTAACGATTATTTTTACAGATTGAGAAAGATTCAGTGTGGTTGCAGTTTTTGTCGTTGACTTGTTAATTATCGCCTCTTCCTACATGCATTTGCAAGCGTATATATACCCACTACAGATACGTGTGATGTCATGCATATCTATGATTACTTGTACATGTACAAACTAGCTTGTATAAGTTTACGCATTATATATACATATATATGTATGTATGTATGTATGTACATTATTGTCATGGCATGAGTATTTAAATTTACCCTCCTCCCTCTACTGTTTTTAAGATCAATTATATTTTGCTTCCGTTATCGTCTTTTAAATTTACTAAAAAAAATCTGGAAAGTCATACATTGTTTTGCCTAATTCTCAAGTTATATTGTTATTTTATAAAAGGGTGATGCTAGAGATGCTATCTTTTCAGATCATGTTTTGTAAACTATATGATATGACGTTTGATAGTTAGATTCTTTCGTTATATTAAAAATAAAATTTAACCTTCAACTTCCATATCATGTTATACTGTTTTCCTTTATAAAAACTGTTTTCAACTTAGATAAGACACTACATTGGTGGCACTACTGTAAGGATTAAAAATGTATAGTTGCTCCACTTTTTAAAAGACAAGGACCTTTACACCTAGTACGGTGCTAACTTCTCAACTTCTAGAACGAGAATGCCTTGCATTTCATATGTAAGAAATCACTTCTAGCTAAAGCCAAATCACATTTTGATGTGTCTGCAGTATTTTTTTGTTGCATTTTTATAAGTTAATAATATATACCGTGTCAAACTGTAATTTACATGTAAAAACAACTTCTTAAAAGTAAGGAGCCAAACAACGTAGGTTCCAATCACCACATTATGGTATGATTTTTCGGACATAGAGCTATTTTATTATTCAAAATTAAACATAGATCAATGCTCTAAGCCGCTGCTCCCCAAAAAGGAGGAGTACAAATTAAGTGTAATTCACTTTTCTTTTTAACTTACTAACACATAAACTATCATATCATACAATCTTATCATTACTCAAGAAAACACGGCAACCCATGATCATGACGATGTCGCAAAGTATGTTTGCAAAGTTGTGCACTTCTCACTTTCTTAAGACAATAACCAGCTAACAAGGTCTACTTTTATTTTACTCTATCAACAAGAGGCATTCTAGAAACTTCTCGCTAAACTATCTCTATAAGCCAATCAGCAGACACACTGAATACTGAAGTCCTTGAAGGGGCCGGGGTTGTCCCTTGGTTCCCTCCACTACTCCTCCTCCTCCTCCTCCTCCTCCTCCTCCTCCTCCTCCTCCTTAGTATTCATGTGAAGAGTGTTTGCTCCTTAGCCATCTTGTGCTAGGTTTCTTGACTTTGGTTTTATCTTCTCCCGAGTTTGGTCATTTTCTGGATCTACCTTGTGAGGCTAGATCTTTCATGATTCATGAATCTGCCATCTTTCTATAGATTTGTGTCAAATTTACCTTGCATGGTTAGATATTTGATAAATCTACCGTTTTAGGCTTAAGTCACTCAAACATTTGATAAATTTGATGTTTTTCCCTTCAAGCAATCAAGGCTAGATCAAACATTGACAAGTGTTTTAACTGCTCATAACCGCCTTTGTGGCATCCTAAGGCACTAGTACAAGGCCATGTGGAGAGAGCTTCACACACGACCTTGTATTAGTGGTCAGAGATAGTGAACCTGTTCATTGAAGTCGCTCTTCCTCCGTAGCAATATATCATTGACTTCAGACACCACAATGGCATGTCGTTGCATAAAATATCGTCTTAATAAAAATAACATTGATAGTAGAAGCAACCTAGGTATTTATAACTTTCATTTTGTTCTTAAAAAAACAACTTAATTTACTGAAGTTGGTCATGGACTCATGATTGTCAAAGCAACAAAAGAAAATCAAGGTTGATTAGGTTTCTTCCTCCACCATTTTTCCCAACTGAAAGAAATAAACTTCACCACCACCTAATCCTACCCCATGGTTGTACAGCACTCCAAGTTTCTCATGTCATGGTAATCATCTTCAAGACGTTACTTATGTCATGACAATCATGATAAATAATTTTTTTGTCTAAACAATGGCGATGGTTGTAACTGACAACTAACAAAGACAAGGATTTAAAAAAATTCAATGGCCATATTCCGAACTTTTAACTACTTTTTATACTTTTAAATCAAAATAGAATAGATAAAACACTCAGAGTATAAGATATTCTATGGCATCGTTGAAAATCCCGTTTGTTTCATTGCACACACTCATATTTAAACAAGTTTGAGACTGCAGTCCATGATAAAATACCAAACCGTGGCAAAAAGGAACGAAAATCCGTGCCATTATTGAAACTCTGGGATGCTACTCTAGGAACTCAACTCTTCACCTAGAAAAAGAAAAAAGAAGAGAAAAAAGCCGTCTACAAATGTAATGGCTCTTGGAGTAATTTTAAGCATTTATTTTTACACCCGAGGTTCTATGCCTGATCCCTTCTCCGAAGTATACCTTGTACTTATTCTGGGAAAACCTTGAGGTCACAGGCCCTTGAGAGTTCAACAGTGATTGACCTATAGGTAGAGCGAAGGCACAAAAATATAGTCTTACTCGTCACATAACTAATTCTTAAAGCCATATGCTTATCTTAAGACTTCCTTTCTAATTATATTGGGCGAAAGGTCCATCCCAACCGTTCAGGTCTGCGTATAGAACAACGAACGACCCACAACTATTAACAAATATTTAGTGAATTAGCCAAACCCTCCCTACAGACTAGGGTAATTAGTAATTACCACCAGTGCCTACTCACTACCAACCCTCCTAATGACCTAGGGCTAACTTAGCCAGTCTATCCTTTGATCCTCTAACTAGCAAATACTACATGTTTTATCAGTATTCAAAAGATGCCTAGCAAAAGAAAGAGCTATGGTTGCCATTGACTATCACAGCAATGCGTGAGCGACTGTCACTAACATAACTATCTAAAGTTTTAGTTATTGGAAAGAAAAACTACTTGGGAGTTAATACGAAGTTTGACAGGGAGTTCTGTTGGCAGAAATGATATATCATTCATCATTGACATGAGATACTAAAATCAAAGCAATATACAACTTCTGCTTATAAGGTCGTACCCCCACCATCTGATAAAAGAGATGCAGCAGCCGCAGCAGCAGTAGGAACAACCCCAGTTGAAGTGCCCGGTTTTGACAAATGCAGGAGCCTGCAAAATCGATTCCAGGTGTATGAGTCAAGTAAACAAATTTTCATCATGTGCATCATAAACCTTAAAATCAGTTTGCCTAATCCTGGTTAGGGACTCAATGACCAACAATTTATCAGGTTTATGCAAATAATATGCACTCTCTTGTAGTCTCATCACTTATAAAATGATCAACCAACATGGAAGAAATAGTCAATTTGGATCCTTTGGGCCAATATGACTGCTGATAGACCGTTGGGACCCCTAGCCATGACACATACAAGGAACAATCTTATGCTGTAGCCGTTTGGGAGGGTTGTTTAATGCTTCTTGAAAGTAAACATTTCAAAGGAAAAAAGAAACTTACGGTGCAAGATATTCACTAAAAGATGATACTGCAGCAACAACTTCAGCATAGTTTTCAGATGTAGCAGGAGCTGTTACTTCAACCAGCTGTATCCCAGGAGTTACAGGGACAGCCGCATCTACGTCATGGAGTTGTAGCATCTTATTAACTGATGACACGGTCACATTGATCTGCGTGCCCCTCTGGAAATGGAAGGAGAATCCCACCCTTAGCAGCTCATGGTCCAACTTGTATCCAAGTGCATAAAAAAAGCGAAGCACATTCTTGCTTGTTTTGCTTTCAACCACAGATCTTACTAGCACTGAAAGTTGCTCAGCACCTGCACCTCTCATTGCACCCCCTATATGCCTTATGGTCCTGCAGATCTAGAATTAGGCATCAATGCAAAAGTATGTACGTAAAACACACAAACTCATACATGTTAATGAATATGCCAGGGGAGGTTTTAAGTCATACCATGTCGGTTCAGTTTGTTCACTTTGTTCAATATCGCATATAAGTCGAACCTCTGATGCTACAAGCCCTATAGAAAGGAAGATCATAACTTGTAATGACCCACAATATAATATCTTTAGTGCTATTCAGCTGATATGTACTCAACCAGACCATACTAACAAAAAATAATGACAAATTAACATGACCATGTGAGATGTCGTAGTCAATAAATGAAACATACTGTATACTATAGTTGTCAGTCCTAAGAAGTTGAAGAAATCAGAAACCCTTTACAAAAATTCATCTAACAGTCCCATGCATCTCACATTGGAAAAGACAACGGACATCTGGGAAAAACTTGTCATTAAAGCACACCAGTGACACCAGGGGAGGCTTTCAACATGTCTTAAAATGAGCTCACAACAGGCAAAAGAGCTATAATGAATGTGGCTTAATTGTGTAGAAATGTGTTGAGACATAGCATCCTAACCACTCAGATCGAAACTAAATGAGGAAAGATATCAATTACCAAGGTTTGGGCCACTTTTAAGGCATATCTCATGGACCCTCAAATTTTTCTTGCTAACACCACAAAGACCCTGAAGAAGAATCTCAAGGGCCTCAACATGCTGCAAAATGCAAACCATATTTTTAGATGCAGCTCCAAACACTTCTCACGGAAAGCGGGAAATGGAATTCTTCTAGTTATTTTACTTACAATTCTGAACAATATATATCCAATAAACACAAATCATTTGTGCATGCAAGAGGAAAAAGAGCTACTAAATCAAATGTTCGTAAGAAAGATTTTTTTGGGACTAACTACATTTTACACCCTCCATATTTATTGTGATCTTTAAAATGGACCAACGAGGTTTTAATTTTCTCACATTGCACTATGATGTTTAGAAATCGTTTCACTTTATAGGTTGTTGCCGATTTGACTGTCTCATCCTTCATTAGATTGATGATCTGGCAGATATGGAGCCCATTTCTAGGCTGTGTAGAAACCACACTTGGACTATTGTTACCAAATTGTGCAACTGCTTATCGTTTTGGGACGATTATTTTCAGTCCATGTGGTGCAAATGTTGCTTCCAAGTCAACCCATAATCAGGTCTCGTGGTTACCAAGTCATCAAATTAACTCACGAAGCAAATGTAAAACACCCATAAGTCATAAATCACTATGATTCTAACATATTAACCTCAAATGAAGCATTGGATAAACTTGGCCACCAAAAATTAAGCACCAAGAGAAAGATTCAATTTTTTTTCTCATCTAATTGCAAATTTGCAATTGCAGAAATTGTATGGAGAAATGTAAGTCCGAATCCAACTCAACCCCCAAAACTTAGTAAAAAAACTCACCTGTGTTTCTATAATTCCTTGGACCACGCACTCCATGAATTTGGTACAGTTGATCTCGCACTTTCTCAAGCCCCTGTGAATTCCTGAGAACCAAAACAAAGAGAAAAAATAAAACCCAATAAACTGTAAACTAAAATAAAGTAGAATTAAAGGAGAAAACATGAAGAATCAAAACGTAAATTTCTGAGAGAGTAAATTAAATAATGAAAAATACTAACCAGGTTTGCAGCAGCAATACCGCGCAAGCAGCAAGGTGAAAAGATGGAGAGAGGGGAAGAGGGGGTTTCGGGGTTTCTGTGTCAGAATTCAGAAGCTTGGAGAAATCGAGCGAAGAGCGATGGTGGTGGCAAAAGCGCATTTGATTGCGGTCATGGACCCTGAAAAAAAGTAGAAAGCTTGAGCGAACATGATGTCTTTACTGGGTTTAACAATTTTTTGGGCCCTTGAATCGTCACTTCAAAAGCCCATTTTTGCTTTTGAACTGATTTTCTTTTTGACAAACGACAAGATAAAATATTATTATATTCATTTAAACTCGGTGAATTCAAATTTGAGTGTAAATGAGGATGCACATGCATGAAGGAAGATGAAAAATGTTAAACATCAAATTTAAAGTTTACGGTGTATGTGACAATTTGACATATTGTAAAACTTTCTTTTTAACAAATGATAGGATAAGTTAAACTATATGGTGAGAAATTCGAACATAGGACCTCAAGTGCAAGATGAATAATCTTAATCACCCAAGTTACAAGCCACTTGTTGAAGGATGGGAAATTTGAACATATGACCTCGAGTGCAAGATGAATAATCTTAATCACCCAAGTTACAAGCCACTTGCTGACATATTGTAAAATTTTACACCACTCGAGATGTTAAATTAAAATATCATTTTTTTTACATAATCACAGTACAATATTAAATTAATGAGTAATTAAATAACACTTTAGTTGGATGATGCCTTTGTTGTTCTTTTAAATGTTTTACCGACGTAAACATAATTATTTAATATCGAACTCATTATATACGAGTGTTATAAGTCAAACTTATAATGGTCCTTATGGATAAGTGTACAATCGCACCGTACACAATGAGTGCTTAAATTATTATTATTTTTTTGTGGACCCACTGAAAGAGTAAAATGCCAAATGGAAAGGAGTCAGCAATGCCCATCTCTCCCAGAGTCCCAATTCCAGGCCAGCTATGAGCTATCCCATTCCGAAAATCCAAGCCGCCAATGGAATCCCAAGTTGAGACAATGAGAATCAGATAATCTGATTAATTTAATTGCAGAAACAAAATCCCTAAACTGGCAAAATATATTGTAACTTGTACCTGGAATTGGAATTGGAATTAGATGCAGGCAAAATAAAATTGTTTTTTCTATTGAGAACTGTTATTAGCATTTTAAAAATTTTATTGCAAGTGTATTTAAAAAAAAAAAAGTATACAAAGTTTAAAATGCAAAATAAGAATTTTAGAGTATCAACAACAATTTCATTTCTGTTTAAATCAGGCTTTGGCAATAATTGGCCCATAATTACTTTTAAACAATTATAGCGATTAAACAATAAAAGATAATTTTTGTGAACCAGTGATTGGTCATCAGTAATCTCATAAGCTTTTTTTCTTTTCTTTTTTTGGCTCTTAAATGGCCAAAAAATTGTATATCAAGCTGACACCCTATGCAACCTCATCTTGTACTTTGGGAGATATTTGATGCAAAGAGAAACATATGTGTAACAGGGCGGATCCAGGTATTGGCTGACATGGGCTCTCGCCCACGAAAAGAGTTTTCAAGACACTGAGTATATTGTTGTCATAGTGTCTTGTGCTAATAATATAACATTATGTAAAAAAAATTTAACGTGATATTATATTATTGAAACGTGATGTCACGGCAATAGAATACTCATGTCATGAAAGTTACTCTCTCTCTCTCTCGATAAATGAAAAAAACAAAGAAAAAGTTGGTTTTCAAAGCATAGAATCTAGCTTACGCCTACACCTAAATTTCACTTCATACTAGAAGGAAACAAAAATTAAGGAAAACTAACGAAAATTTCAAAAAAAAAAAAAAACTGTAGTTTTAATGAAAAATGACAAATAAAGATGTAGTGAATAGTACTAGAAAAAGGTATAAATGTGATTTTTCGTTAAAGTGAACAGTACCATAAGTGTTTCGTTAAAACTCCCAAATTAATATCCATCCCGATATAAATTTTTTAGTTCCACCTTTGTATACGTACCACTTGTTAAGGTGGTCTGACTCAATACAAGTCATAGATGTGGATGGACTTAACTCACATTGAGGGAGTAGGATTCACTCCCCTCCTAATCTCTCGCCACTTTCATTCCCTCATATTTAAACGGTTACGATTACGCCACGTATACATTTTGTTTTGAATTTTTTTATATAAAGAATAAGGCAAAAAGAAAAGAGTGAGAGGAAATGATGGTAATAGGAGGGGAGATAATGCTACTCCCACGTTGAAAGTACCACAAGAATACGACATAAGAGTTTTTTGAGATAAAAAATACAATGCTTTGGGTTTAATGAGTTTTTTTTTTTTTTTTTTTTTTTTGGCTTATTTTCAATCAACGAAGATCCAATGATCTTGAGCCACCTTCTGTTACTTGAATGAGTTTTTTTTTTGTTTTTTGGACAGACTTGAATGGTTAAATTGAAGACAGTACCGGTGTTTAGAAAAGATGTAGTTATAGGCTTATGTTCATCATGTCCACAAACACCTTTATTATTTGGGAACTTTAATGAAAAGCTCATGATACTGTTCATTTAACAAAAAACCACACTTTTACACTAAAATATCAATTCTGATACTATTCACTTTACCCTTTATTTTGTCCTTATCGTTAAAACTCAAAGTTTTTAAGCCTTCTTCATTAGTTTTCCTTTATTATTTTCTAATTCTTCTAACACTTAACGAAGAATAATTTTCCTTAAAATAAAAACAAGTGTTTTTATCACAAATGATCCCTGAAATTGATCATCATCATCAAGGTGATCCTTGAAATTAAAAATCAATCAATGTAGTCCTTGAAAATAGGTGTCGCAAATTAATGTGGTTTTTCCGTCACAATTATATTAAAAATTCCGTTAAATGCTGATGTGGCACATAAATGAGCCCCACAAAATTTATAGGTTTTTATCACAAATGGTCCCTAAAATTGAAAATCAATCAATGTAGTTCTTGAAAATAGCTGTCGCAAATTAATATGATCCTTCTGTCACAATTCTGTAATAAAAAAAAAAATTGGTATATGCTGATGTAGGTTTAATAATTAATTAAAAAAGGGAATTGTTATTGGCAATCCAAAAATCTCATTCTACACTCCAAATTTTCTATATTTGAAAAGAAAAATATACTTGTGAGGAGAGTAGAATGAGATTTTTGGAGTACTAATAACACTTCCCTAAAAAAGTTGTCTAAATACCTTTTTGCACAATAGAATTTTTTTTTTTCTTCATATAGCAGGGCCTCAAAGGCACAAGGCTTAACCAAGGCCTAAGAGGGGGTATGGAGATAGTTTTCAACCAACAATGGATGAACCTCGATCATCTCAAGGCAGACCTCGTCGTTATTTGCATCACTAGACCACCAGAAAAGTGTCGAACAAGCTCTCCAAGATTTAGGTTGTGAGAATGTTGATCACCTAAATGTTAACGATGATGTCTCAGAAGTTGTTGCCAATGGGCCAAGCTACCACCAAAGATGATCTCGATCCAAGTTCAATTTGGTGAAGGATGTCAAAGTGGGTAAAGATGGGTGTATTGAGATTTTTTCTCAGAGAATAGAGAGCAAAGGAGGTATAAAAATGTGGACTGAGGTCGAAGGTGATTGCACGGCTAGGTTTTTGGGTTGACAATTTTTTATTAACTATTAAATTATTAAGCCTATTTGTAATTTGTTTTGTAATTTAATTAGACTTGTGTGACCCATTTATATGTAACATCAACATATAACATAACTTCTGACAAAATTGTGACAGAATAACTACATTGATTTGAGACACTTATTTGCAAAACTACATTGATCAATTTCAATTTCAAGGACCATTTTGAGGTCATAAGTCAATTTCAAACACCATTTGTGAGGAAAAAAAATGACTTATAGGCCTCATTTATGTGCCACATTAACACTTAACATATTTTTTAACAGAATTGTGATGGAAGAACCACATTGATTTGTAACACCTATTTTTATGGACTACATTGATTGGTTTTCAATTTTAGGGACCATTTTGGTAGTGATAGTCAATTTCAGAGACTATTTGTGATAAAAACTCTAAAAACAAAGAATGATGACTCAAGATTTAGGCTTTTTTTTTTTTTTTTTGACAATTGATATTATTTACATTAAAAGGGAGGGGTGATCTTAGTCTCACGGGCTATCAATAATGACTCAAGATTTAGGGTGTTTTAGAAACCGTATTTATAAAAAGCACTTTTACTCATAAATATCTTTGGTATAATTGCTTTTATTATAGACACATTAAAATTTTATTAAAAGATCAAGTACTTCTTTAGAAGGAATTATTTTTTGCTCACCACCCTATTGATTACTAGTGGATGAGTTTAATTTATTCTATTTACTATACAAATCTCAAATTTCAAATTAATCTAACGATAAGTAATAGTGTGGTGAGCATCATCACCACATTAGAGTGATAGGCTCTTTAAATAACCGTAACAAATTTAAAAGTAAGTGCTGACCTTGAAATTACAAAGCATATGTGACGTGCCGGCCAAGTAACTATAAGTTAACTACATCCTTCTTGGGAATGCGGGCATGCCAACTCACAATTGAACTTGGTCAGGCGAGTAGAATAGATGTGGTGATGTTGAATGCCTGCTAGCTTCTATAGTTTAACAAGGAAGTAACACATGTCGGCCTCGGGTTCTAGAACCTTAAAACAAGGTTGCCTAGTTCACTGCAAAGTTCAAGATCTCTTGTACTAGGTTCAGCTGCCTCAACTATATTCGTAAGAATATAAGCGCACCGAATCGGTATCAGGCTGTAGGGCCACATGTACTCAAAGGAGATGAGTTTTTTTATGGTGAATGTGGATAGGTAATCAACCTAAACAGAAGCAGTGATGTTAATCCAAACTGAAAGTGCTCATCAATTTGCTTACGGCTCTGGTGTTGTTAATCCAAATTGAAGACGTGTTGACGAGAGAGTTAGGATAATTAGTATTTTTCTCAGGGGGGTGAAAAGGGCTTTGCTTAAAGTGAGTGTTTTTATGTAGATCGTTTGAGTTGTTTGCTAAGTTGAAGGGGGTTTTTCACGTCGCATAACCATTTCTACTTATAGGGATAACCTTCATGATAAACAAGCTTGCCAATGTAGAATTCTGATGGAAGCGTGTTTGCTCGACATTTACTTGAATATTCCCTTTATTTCCTTAATTCCCTTCTTAGCCAATTCTTCATCTTCATATAGTCTCGGCTTCTTTGATTCGAACTAGGATTTTGATCAAGAATGAATTATGATCCTTGGGATAATTTGCATTTATCAGGGCTTTATTTTGATCCTTGGCACATTCAATTTGCCTAGGACTCAACCGAGTCACATATGAACTTAGTCCTCACATAATCCTATTCTTATGAGGACTCGGTCTAACAAACCCTTTCTTGGCCTAAAAGCCCATTGGCCTGAGGGATCTTTACTGGGCCAAGGGATGTGGTTTATCAGCTCGAATTAGCCCATTATCGACTCAAGCTGTTATTTTAGACCAAAACAGTAAACCTAAAAGTAATTAGAAGTTGTTCAATTGAAAAACACTATGACCTAGAAGAAGTTTAAGCCTTTCTGCCAAGTATGACAAAACACTCTTAATTGTTAGACAATATTTTAGCTCATTTTAATATAATCTCAAAAACACCCATATAGTCAGGCACTTGGCGATAAGAATTTTGATGCCAAGTGGCTCCAGGTTCAAAATACTTGAGTTATAAACAAAAGTTGCAAGAAAACTAGGAATATTTTCCATCCTGTGAAAAGACAGGGGATTTGAGAACTAAAGTGGAGAGGCTGTAACTTGGATGAGATTTGTTTTTGTTGCAGAATAAGATGAGAGAAATACGAAGATATAGAAAATAAAACATGTGGCTGCAGTTTCCCTATCAATTTGTATACCACCCACCCCATTGGCGTTAGCCAATCCTCTTCAGTCTTTCGCTCACTCATCCCCGCCTCCCACCCGACTTCTCTCTCCCAAGCCTACTGGCGTGGGGCAGAATTTCACCCAAAAAGATGGAAAAATTTTAGCAAATAAAAGTAAAGCATGTGTTAAAAAGAATAAAAGATAAGTGCAAAAAAAATCAAATCATTCACTTCCGAAAAATGAAACTAACACTTTTGTTGCTGATGGGTGTAAAATCCCATCCTCATAATACACAAAAGTAGAAGAAATAAAGCAAAAAGATAAGATTTATAGCAAACAAAAGTAAGAGAAGTAAATAAAAAAAGATTAGATTTACGTACAAACCCCTGGTCCCTGGTGGTGTGCTCCTAGAGAGAGAAAGACACATAGAGGGGAGAGAGAGTGAGGGAGAGGGAGAGAGACAGAGAGAGAGAGAGACAGACGGAAGAGAAGGAAGATATGTCTCTAGTATTATAGTTTGAGAGAAAACTGGTGCTCTGGGTTTTGTTGGTTGTTGAAAAAATATAATTTTGGAGATGTCAGGTGGTGGTTGCAGTGTGGTTTGGTTCAGGAGAGATCTGAGGGTTGAAGATAACCCAGCTTTGGCAGCTGCAGTGAGAGCAGGAGGTGTGGTTTGTGTCTTCATCTGGGCTCCTGATGAAGAAGGCCCTTTTTATCCTGGAAGGGTGTCAAGATGGTGGCTTAAACACAGCTTGGCTCATCTGGATTCCTCCCTAAAAAGTCTGGGTGCTTCTCTCATCACCAAAAGATCCACTGACAGTGTGTCTTCTCTCCTTGAAGTTGTTGTTTCCACTGGTGCTACTCAACTTTTCTTCAACCACTTATATGGTAACATCAAATTTTCTTAATTTTTATGTTTCTCAATCTTTTTGCTTCTATGTGTTTTTTTATTTGTATAGGCTGTTGAGTTTCTATATTTTTCTTGGTTCTGTGATTTTTCAATGAATTTGTCCGTTTGCTGTGTTAAATCTCTGGTTTTGGTTAAAAGAAATTGAATTTGTTCTGTTTTCAACATCAAAGGTTGGTGCTTTGATTGATTTGATGAAGCTGTCTGTTAAGTATTACCTACCATGTTCCTATTTTTGGATAATTTACTGTTCATTTGGCTGCTGACTATTGATACGGGCAGAAATGTTATTTGATTGTAGGTAGTGTAATGGTCTCTTATTTATCAGGACTGGGAGCAGATTTATTGATAATCTGTTAATTTACCCTAATTGAATTTTGTTTTGGTGCACAGCCTAATTGAACTTTGTCTGTTCTGTCCAAGAATTCTTCTGTTCTCCAGTTGATGAACTCTTGTATTTCGATTTTACGTAGTTGAGGAGATAAGAATATAAAAATCAGAGTTTTGCAATTTAATGCTTAGTTCTATGATTCTATCTTCGTGTTTCAGATCCTATGTCACTGGTTAGGGATCACAGGGCCAAGGAGGTTTTAACTGCTCAAGGCATAGCTGTGCGTTCCTTTAATGCGGATTTGCTCTACGAACCATGGGATGTTATTGATGTCCATGGTCGCCCGTTCACAACCTTCGATGCCTTTTGGGGAAGATGCCTTAGCATGCCATATGACCCGGATGCACCACTTCTCCCCCCTAAGAGAATTATTTCAGGTTTAAATGCATTTATTTTCTTCTTGAACTTCAACTCTATTCAGCATACAGCTAGCTTTTATTCGATCTCATGTTCCTCTTGTTTATTTTTCTACAAAATTATTGAAAGGCTGATCCCACATTTTTCATTGGCTTGGTTGGCCATTTTATGTTCTGAATTTCTTATCCAAATGAGTCAAACTGAACAGAATCGAAAACGTGGATGGAAGAAGGTTCTTCTGGTTCCTATATTTTCCTAAGGATTTAATGGTAATAAGATCTTCTTGGTGATTATCAACAAAAAATTGTTGAAAATAGCAGATATTTTAAGCACATAAAGTTTGCCCTGTGTGAGTATTCTACCTAAGTTAAAAGATGATAAACCCTTTTGATGTTGGAGTTGTGTCACTGCCTCTATAAGCCTCGTGATATAGCCTCTAAGGTGGAGTAGTTGTAACGAGTCATGACTATGTTACTGTTGAACATGCAGGGTTCACTGACGGCTTAATTTGCGATTATTTTCTTTTCCTTTGTTCTTGCTCTTTGTGTGTCATGGGTTTCCTGATTCCTCCAGTATGCGTTTTTTGTACGGTTATTTCCAGTTCTACTTGGTTACCACCTTTCAGTTCATATCCTAGATTAACGTTCAAACATTCATGACTTTTGCAGGTGATGCATCAAGGTGTCCTTCTGATACATTGGTTTTTGAAGATGAATCCGAGAAGGGAAGTAATGCACTTCTTGCTCGAGCATGGTCACCTGGGTGGAGTAATGCTGATAAGGCTCTGACTACATTTATAAATGGACCCTTACTTGATTACTCTAATAACTGCAGAAAGGCTGATGGCGCTACAACATCTTTACTTTCTCCCCATTTGCATTTCGGGGAGGTGAGTGTGAGAAAGGCATTTCATCTTGCTCGTATGAAGCAGGTTGTTTGGGCCAATGAAGGCAACAAGGCTGGTGAAGAGAGTGTAAACTTGTTTCTGAAGTCTATTGGTCTTCGGGAATATTCAAGATACATTAGTTTTAATCATCCTCGCAGTCATGAAAGACCTCTTCTTGGGCACCTAAAGTTCTTCCCCTGGATTATAGATCAGAACTATTTCAAGGCATGGAGACAAGGTAGAACTGGCTATCCATTGGTGGATGCGGGCATGAGAGAGTTGTGGGCCACTGGTTGGCTACATGATCGAATACGAGTAGTAGTTTCTAGTTTCTTCGTAAAGGTTCTGCAACTTCCATGGAGATGGGGAATGAAGTACTTCTGGGATACACTCTTAGATGCTGATCTTGAAAGCGATGCTCTTGGTTGGCAGTATATATCTGGTACTTTACCTGATGGTCGTGAACTTGACCGCATAGATAATCCACAGGTGCGGATGTTGAGCTTGATTATCTTGAATTATATTGAGCATGTGCTTCTGAACAAACGTTCAAACACTTCTAAATTTATACAATGGAAAAAAATTTCCATGCGTTTTTATTCATATTTTGCAGTTTTGGCTTTATTCTAGTGTCCTCATCTAGGGTCACCAGCAATGAAAAGAAATCTAGTGCAGTTGTTTGTCAGTGCTCATGACTGTTCATAAGACTGCAATTTTTCAAAAGTTTCGAGGAAATAGTTTTGCCTTGGTTCTGCTCGCACATGATGAAAGACAACCTGAAAGAGGCCCCCTCAGTACAGTAATGGCTACTAGGTTAATATGGATAGTGGTATGCTGATTTTACTATTAGAAAAGAGAAATCGCGGAGTTGTTTCCCCCACATCACTACCATATCATCATACGTGAAAAACTGCAAAAATCTAGTGTTGAAATTTTTCGTTTAACTATTGTTTCTTCACTTTTACCTATGTCTTGCTACGATGCATCGAGTGATATAAATTGACATGCTCCTTTTGTTCTGAGAGGATTATGCAATAGTACCACGCTTATTTGATCAAGTTTCGGTACTGAAATCTCGTATTTATTTGATTTCTACAGTTTGAGGGTTACAAATTTGATCCAAATGGAGAATATGTGCGGAAGTGGCTTCCTGAACTTGCTAGGCTACCAACTGAATGGATACACCACCCGTGGAATGCACCAGAATCTGTACTACAAGCAGCTGGAATTGAATTAGGATCGAATTACCCTCTACCTATTGTAGGAATAGATGCAGCGAAAATCCGGTTGCAAGAAGCTTTATCAGAGATGTGGCAGCACGAAGCTGCTTCAAGAGCCGCTGTTGAAAATGGGACTGAAGAAGGGCTTGGAGACTCCTCTGAATCAGTGCCAATTGCCTTTTCTCAAGACATACAAATGGAGGAAAATAATGAACCCGCGAGGAACAACCCTCCTGGCACTCGGAAGTATGAGGATCAAATGGTCCCAAGCATTACTACTTCTTTGGTTAAAGCTGAAGAGGAAGAAACTTCTTTGGAATTTCAAAATTTGACAGAAGAAACCAGAGCGGAAGTGCCTACAGACTTAATTGTGAATCAGGAACCAAGAAGAGACATATTAAACCGAGGGGTTTTTCAGACTATTCATAACAACGCTCTTCCACAATCCAATGCTGCAATAGGGCTGCAACACGCTGTTGAAGATTCGACTGCAGAATCTTCCAGTAGCACTAGGCGAGAGAGGGATGGAGGTGTAGTTCCAGTTTGGTCTCCTTCAAGTTCTAGCTACTCGGAGCAGTTTGGGAGTGAAGACAATGGCATTGGAACAGGTTCGTACTTGCAGAGACATCCTCAGTCTCACCAAATAATGAATTGGAGGCGGCTATCTCAAACTGGGTAAAAAATCTTGAACAAATCACCAATATCCACTATGAGACTATGACTGAAATAAAGAGTCTGTTGGGTTCTTTGTTCAAACAAACAATTTTGAACCTTCATCTTGCAGTTAAGAGCTTCGAGACATATCACAATATGGAATTGATCTGCTGGTCTCGTATGCATTACTTAAATTTCTCAAGCTTCGACGTTCTGAAATGATATATCACAAAGCAATAAGTGAATGCCAATTTGTTTGAGATAGAGTTCATGTTTTCATTCGCACGCTAGCAGTCTCATTGTTTCCTCAATGTTTCTTCTTTTACAGGTGAAACATATAGATGCAAATAGGAGAACGGAAAGAGTGCTGTGCGGCGTAATGGTGCACACCATCTAATGGATTCGGGAAGGTGAACTTGTCATCCGCATTGAACGTACAACTCTTCTCTGGCACGAGTGCCCGTAACAGCAGTAGACCTCCTGTGTGTATGATATATTCTAATTAATACAGGCAACTTATTAGCTATCCATTTTTTTTTTCTTGTTCCACCATAATGTAGCTCTGGTGTACAGCAATGTTGTATTTATAAAGGAAGAGAGTGAAGTAAGATATGTAGTCTTTGAATAAACTCTGGTGTTTTTCTCTCATTCTAATTGGTAACAGATGCTTGTAACATATTCTATGTATCCACGTTTACCTCTTCTCGTAGGTTTGAAATTTTACTGGTCTGTTAACTCGAGTTTTGCAGCACAAAAGTTATCTGCTTAAACTTTTTGAACTACAAGAAAAAATAAGGAACAAATTTTACTCATTTTTATGAAGAGAAAAATTTGGTGTCGGAATTTGAATATTTCTTTTTGTGTAAATGTTCACAATAAACTCCGTAGATCTCCTAAAAGGAGCCTCAAGGGCGGTGATGGAGATCCGAAAATATGGTCTTCTATTGAAAATGCTTTAGTATGTACTACATTAAAAACTTAATAATGTGACTGATTTAAATGAAAACTTCTACTGATTTAAATGAAAACTTGCTAACTTTAGTAGTAGAACAACTAAATCTTTGCATCTACGACTTGAGAGCTCAAATCTTACTATCAAAACCTATATATTTGACCTAGGATTTATGATGATAGGACCAACTGTTTATGCAGAACTTCCACAAATCTTAATATTTAGTTGTACCAAAAGTAAAAGATGTCACTACCAGTTAACATCAACTAAACCTAATATATTGCATTCTTAATCAACATCATTCAACTTCCGGCAAAAGCATTAATTGGTTCAGGAATATTGCCGAATTATTTCTCTTTTGATCTACAGACTTTTTTTTTTTAATTAAAACAATAATGTTACATCCACTTCAGCATTTTTATCATGGAAAAAGACATCATTTTGAAAATATATTAAAGAAAAAAGTAAAGATACAATAAGTTAGAGGGGACATGAAGCCAAACCCTAACAGGCAGAAGAAAACTATTAGAAACACAAAATCAATGAAGAGAAAGTTCTAAGAGAAACAAAAATTTGGAAGCCCCAAAAGATTATGAGCAAAAGCTACAACTGCACACGGCAGACAAGAATCCCAACAATGAACCCCAACATGATCAATTCCATAGTCTGCCAAACAATCTGCCATCTGATTTCCTTCGCAATAAATGTGAGAAAACCGAACTTGCATGGAAGAGAGGATGGTACAACAATTTGCCCAATCAACCGATAAACGCCAAGGCACTTGAAAAGATCCATTAGAAAGAAAATGCACTGCTAAACAAAAATCACACTCAATCTAAAGAGAATGTCAACCCCTCTCCAAAGCTATATAAACAACATGAATACTAGCTTTGAGTTCTGCCTCCAAGGTGGTAGCAATACCAAAAGATCATGCAAGGCATCCAAGACAATGACCTAAGTGGTCACGGCAAATACCACCAAAAGCAGCCATACCTGGAGAATCACGAGCCGCACCGTTAGTGTTAACTTTAACTTGAAAAGAACAAGGAGAAATCATATAACCTCATGAATTCTAGGTGCCCTTGAAGGCCTTCCATGCACTCCAAGCACTCTAAGAATGCAAAGCTCATCAACTGAGTTTAACATCAAACCTATACCCCAAGAATTCACCACACAAACTTGTAAGAAAATGTCATTAACCAACTGATTAATTGTAAACATTTTCCCTTCAAAACGGATAAAATTTCGAGCTTGCCAAAGTGCATAAAAACTTGCCCCAGTCATACCCACCACAATAATTGAAGTTGAGTACTGAAACCACGCTGCAAAGGATAAGAAAAAAAAAAAATTGATGTGATGTTAGAGAATAATGCAAAAACCTGAAATAAGGCTGAAACGTCACTATGCCAAATTTCCAAAGAAAATGAGCACTCGAAAAATAAATGTTGAGCTGACTCAGTAGCCTTACAACATAAAAAGCAAATTGACGCAAAAGAGAATCCCCGGTGAAGCAATAAATCATCAGTTAAAAGCTTACCGTGAAGAAAAAGCCATAATAAAATAGAATTATGCGGTCGAAAACATGTACGCCAAACCCATCTATTCCAAGGAACAATTGCTTGCTCACTACACTTAAAATCATAAGTCGAAGTTAAAGATAATACACCATCGAAAGCAGTCAGCCAAATTAGTTTTCCATCCAATCTCGACAAGGGAAGCTTAATTGTCAAAATTTCAGACCATATAGCAAAAAGGGTGGCACTAGTTATATCAACAGGGCAAAACCAATTCCCATTATGAATATAGTCTGAAACATGCACAAACAGAAGTTTACCAAGAGATTGCGGAATATCCAACCTTTTAACAATTGAATGACCAATCCAATTTGCATGTCAAAAGTTAATAGAAGCATCATTTTCCACCAACCATTTGGAGTTTTGACTAATATCTACAAATAAAGGCTGCAAACCAGGCCAAATAGAAGACCGTTTATAATAAGAGTACACCTAACCGATACTAGTAAAAAATCGTTCACGAAAAAGACTAGCAGTAGTAGTAAAAAAATCCCAAAATTTCTTCAAAAGAAAGGTCTGACTAAAAGCTTGAAAATTCCTCACTCCAAGACCTCTTCCTTTAGAAGGGCACACCATTTCTTCCAAGAAATAGGGAAATAGGCCCTAGAATTTATACTCCCTGTCCAAATAAAATTGTGAGCCCAGTTGCGAACTTATAATAAAACAGATTTAGGCCAAGCATAAATAGAGTAACTATGAGATAACATGCTAACAACTACGTAATTAATAAGAGTCACCCTGCCAGCCATAGAAAGAGACTGACCATACCAATCAGATGAACAATTACGAATCTTGTCTGCCAAAACTTGGAAGTAAGCATTTTTCGGTCGTCCAACAAAAATTGGAACCCCAAGATAAATAAAGGGAAACCTCCAATGGGAATTCTCAACCAAGAGTAAATTAGAGACCGAGAGGAACATCTGACTTATTACCCAAATAAACATGAGACTTTGCTTTATTCACCAATTGTCTAGAATTCAAGCCATACTCATCAAAGAAAGCTGTAAGTTGTACCAAACTAGCCTTGTTCCCCTTACAGAAAACCATGATATCATCCACAAAAAGAATATGAGAGGGAATTTTAGCTGCTCGAGGGGAAGAAATAGCTTTGACGTTTCCATTTCCAAATAAATGTACTAGACCTCGGCTCCGCAAGACGAAAAAGAGAAGGAGATAATGGATCACCCTGACGAACACCACGACTACTTTCAAAGAAGCCAGCGGGAATTCCATCAGAAAGAAAAGAAAGTCTCGCAGATATCAGAATAGAGCTTACCCATTGAACAAAAGTTGAGTGGAACCCAAAAGCCGTAAGAACTCGACGAAGAAAATCCTAATTGAGAGTGTCAAAAGCTTTAGCGACATCAAATTTTATAGCAACATTCCCGTCAACGCATTTAGTATCAAGCAAATTACACATTAAGCCAAAATATGCAATCAGAGATGTGTCGACCTTTAAGAAAAGCATACTTGTCGGGCAAAATTATCCGGGGCTAGGCGATCAGAAAGAATTCTGGTAATAATTTTAAAAATAAAATTAGCCATAGCAATAGGTCGAAACTGAGTGATAGAATTTGCTTCTTGAACCTTCGGAATGAGAACTACAAAACTAGAATTTAGGTTTGGCAAAATGAAACCCGATTCAAAGAAGGAGATAACAGCACGAACAACATCTGCACCAATAAAATCCCAACAAGCTTGGAAAATTGGCCAGTGTAACCATCAAGGCCTGGAGCAATATCTTCTTTCATAGAAAATACAACGTCTTTGATGGTCTGAGAAGATGGAATAGCAAGCAAAGAAGAATTTTCTGATTCTGACACCAGTGAAAGAATAAATCTTTCAACAAGACCCGTATCACACGTGACACCATCATCCGTAAAAGCCATAGTGAAGTGATCAACTATATGACTACACAAGATACTGGGATCATCAATCAAATCATTATAGATACGAAGAGAAGATATATGAGAATGAGCCAGTCTAATTTTGGCCAAAGTATGAAAATAATTGGTGTTCCTATATCTCCTTGTGTATCCCATTTTATCTTAGCTTTTGCCGCCCAAGATTTTTCTTGAACCAATACAACTTGTGATAAGGTTTCGTTAGCACAAATTTCTTCAGCATAACGTGCTTCAGAGAAACCCTTAAGCAAAATAGTTCGTTGAATTTTTTTAAGGCTTCCCGCGCTCTATCTACTGTAGCATGAACATTGCCGAAACATTTTTATTCCCCTCCTTCAAAATAGGCTTTAAAAGCTCAAGCTTTCTTTGGAGACGGGGGAAGGTTAAGAATCCTAATTTACACTAAGGAGACGGGGGACGGTTAAGAATCCTAATCGCAAGGGATAGAATCCTAATCGCAAGGTTAAGAATCCTAAATTATTACACTAATTTACATTAAGAAAACGGGAAAAGGTTAAGAATCCTAATCGCAAGGGATAGAATATAAGGTCCTAACCACGAGAACACACCACGACTTGCAAGATGGCATAATTGTATTGTTAGTGATAGTTGGACAAGTAATATTTATACAATTAATTTTATCTTTATTGCACCTTCTTTAGACTGAAAAGTGAAAAAAGTGGGGAGAAAAGGCAATGTCCTCACTCATAAAATTATGAAGTGAATCATGGTCTTGGAACCTTAATAATGGTCTCTTTTGGTGCCATACTAGAAGCAGATGATATAAAATCATGAGATGCTCATAGTAGAGACTATATATGCTGTCTTCTAGGGCATAAAGCCTATCAATTCTTAAATATTGATCAGCCACTGGCCTATACATATTTTACTGTGCTTTTTTTTTTTTCTCTAGAAAAAAGCATCCAAAGCCTGCATTTTTCTTAGTAGAAAAAATTCTCAGATTCAGAAGTCAACACAATATATTACTCGGGAGGAAAAACTAAAAAGTAATGGTCATGAATTTCTTATGTTATCTCTTAAGTTTTTTATTTTTTATTTTTTAAACTAAGAGAAAACTACAACGCAATGCCCGTAGTGCAGCTATGATAAGCGAAATGCCAAAACCATGCCGCGTGCTTTGGCTTCACTAGGCAAAGTTTATGCCAAATATAAGGATCTTAGCTAGGAGGAATATCCCACTGCCGCCAATGCATTCACAACAAAACTTGCTTCCCGGCCGGAATAT